CATCTACGCTCAGACTGTTGGGTATCCATAGGCTGGCACCTCAGCGCAGGCAAACTGTCCTTTGGAGACCACTTGTTTCACTTTGCCCAGGCTTGGTCGGCTATCACCTCAGACAGATGGGTGCTGGATGTAATAGCCAAGGGATATTCTATCCCGTTTCTGGGTTCCCACCCCTCCCTAACCCCCTTCCCGTCCCTCTTCAGGGACCCCTCTCACAAGGCCCTCCTTAGGCAGGAGGTCCTTGCACTCTTAAAAAAAAAAAAAAGGAGCAGTGGAAAGGGTGCCCTCCCATCTCGAGGGCAAGGGGTTTTACTCCCGGTATTTCATCATCCCCAAGCCAAAGTGGGGACTTCGGCCTATCCTAGACCTCAGGGACCTCAACAAGCACATAAGGAAGGAGAGGTTCCGGATGGTGACCCTAGCCTCCATCATTCCGGTGCTAGACAAGGGAGATTGGTATTCAGCCCTCAATTTAAAGTACTCCTATTTTCATGTGGCGATTCAGCCAGCCCACAGGAGATTCCTCTGGTTTGTGGTGTTCCACTGCCATTTTCAGTTTGCCATCCTCCCCTTTGGGCTCTCGACGGTGCCCAGAGTGTTTACGAAATGTATGGCAATGGTGGCGGTCTTCCTCCGGAGATTTGGAGTCCAGGTCTTTCCGTATCTGGATGACTGGCTAATCAGGGGCCAGTCGAGAGACCAGGTGCTCGCGCATATAAGGCTGGCGTGGGCACTTTTCAACAGACTCAGCCTTGTCAAACGAGGAAAAGTCAAAATTGACACCAGTTCAGGACAGAGTTAATGGGGCATGCTTACCTCCCGGCGTCTTGATTCCAGGCAATGGGGAGCCTGGTGTCCAAGCTGCGACAGTCCCCGCTGACGACAGCGCAGTCTTGTATGAGACTTCTCGGACACATGGCAGCCTGCACCTATGTCGTCAGACACACCAGGCTGCGGCTCAGACCACTACAGGCGCAGTTAGCAAGGTCGTTCAACCAGGCCAGGGCAGGCTGGGACCAGGTCCTCACCATGCCTCATAACGTCCTCAACTCGCTCCTTTGGTGGATGCTAGAGAGCGAAGTGTGCACAGGTGTTCCTTTTCTAACAGAACTGTCGGTACGGTTAATCACCGACACCTCTGACGACGGCTGAAGGGGGGCACACTTGCAGGATCACAGAATGCAAGGGTTGTGGGGCTGCCCCCCTCCTCCCCCGAAAGACAGTTGCATATAAATGTGAGAGAGCTGAGGGTGGTCAAGCGGGCTTGCGAGGTGTTCCTGACCATGCTCTCGGGGAAGTTGGTCTTGGTGCTGCTGGACAATACAACAGCTGTTTTCTGTATAAACAAACAAGAGGGAGCTCGATTGTCTCCACTATGTCACAAGGCGGCTCTTCTATGGTAGTTCTGCATAGCCCACAGCATCCAGTTCCAAGCAGCTTACTTGTTGGGGTGCGTAAATACGCTGGCAGACTCACTTAGCAGGTCCTTCAGAGTCCACAAGCAGTGTCTGAAGGAGGAGGTTTTGACACAGCTCTTCCAGCCGTGGGGGCGTCCCCAGGTGGACCTGTTTGCCACCGAGGGGAACAGGAAATGTCCCCAGTACTTTTCCCTCCTAACCTTGGGAGCGGGATCAGAAAGGGGATGCTCTGACCTCGCCCTAGCCACAAAGTATATTGTATGTTTCCCCTGGTTTCCAAGGTGCTTACCAGGATCAGGCTGTTCAAGTCACGGGTCATCCTGATAGCCCCAGACTGGCCCAAGCAGTTTTGGTATCCCATCCTGCGGGAAATGACGAGCGCCAGACCGTATCATCTGCCGCTGACCCCGGATCTAGTCACCCAGACCAGGGAGGGAGGCATCCTGTATCACTCGGATATCAGGTCCCTCCATTTGACAGCATGGCTTATCCATGGCTGAAACCTCCTGAGCGGGCTTGCTCGTGGGGGTGCCGGAGGTTCTCCTGGGGAGTCGGAAACCAGCTACCAGATTGTCTTACACTGACAAATAGAGAAGGTTTTCGGTCTGGGCCTCAGGAAAGGGAATCTATTCCTCCCAGGCCCCTGTCCCTGTGGTCCTGGACTACTTGTTTGAACTACGGCAGGCTGGCCTGTCCACGTCGTCAGTGCGGGTGCACGTAGTGTCCCTGACGGTGTTTCACGAGAGCAGATCGCTGTTTGCAGACCCCCGGTCAAAAGGCTCCTAAAGGGTCTCGACAAATTATTCCCACATGTGAGAGCCCCAGTACCCCAGTGGGACCTCAGCTTGGTGCTGATGAAACTCATGGGCTCTCCCTTTGAGCCCCTGGTGTCATGCCCGCTTAGGTTCCTGTCTCTCAAGGTGGCATTTATAGTGGCCATCACATCAGCACACAGGGTGGTGTCGGAACTGCGTGCCCTGACGGTGGAACCTCCGTACTTGGTATTCTCAGCAGATAGGGTTAGATTGCGGCCCCACCCGCTATTTCTCCCCAAGGAGGTGTCTGCCTTCCACATGTCTCAGGACATATACCTCTCAGTTTTCTTTCCCAAACCGCACCGCTCCCCTAAGGAGCGGGCGTTGCATTCCCTGGACACAAAAAGGGCCCTAGCGCTTTATATAGATAGAACGAAACCCTTTCGTAGGTCATCGCAATTGTTTATTGCCTATGCTGAACGAGTGAAAGGGCTGCCAGTGTCGGCCCAAAGGCTGTCGGTATGGATCTCCTTGTGTATTTGAGTGTGCTATGCTCTGGCGCACAGGGTGCCACCTCAAGTGTCGGCACATTCCACTAGGGCGCATGCTTCATCCGTGGCATTTGGGGCCCAAATCCCGATACTTGAGATCTGTAGAGCGGCCACATGGTCCTCCATTCATACATTCACAGAGCACTACGCGCTCACCCAACAGGCTCTAGTCTTTCCTTGCCCCTGCAGCCCTCAGCCACTCTCCCAAGCAGCTAAGCAGCAGTTGCCCTGGAAAAATTTCTCACTACAGTACTCAAAGTAAAATGCTTTAAAAATGGTAACCAACACCTTTCAGGAGCCAGGCTGGAAAATACTATGCTGGATACAATCCAGCCAGGATAGGCATTGTGATGGCATGTCCCAGCACGATAGAAAATGCATTTAGAAGAGATTCCCATTTAATTATTGTCACAATAGAATTCTATATATGGTCTATCATACATTAAACATTTTAATTTGAGTAAGCTGTTCATATTACTATTACATTCAAGTTGTTTGATACTTACATATATTTATAGTCTGGTTGAACTAAACTTGGGAAGCCTAACTTTAAAAGCCCATTTTTTTTAAGTTTCTGCTATGAAACTAATTTTACTTTCAGTATAGAATGAATGTTAGTCTTTTAGCTTGCGTTATCTGTGGGAGACCTATAAAGGCTATACATCTCATTTTAAAAATGCTTATTTGCAGCTGCAGTTTTTACACCTACTTGACCTTCCTTCAGTGGTACTTTCAGCAGTGTGTTGTCCCCAGAATCTGCTAAAAAGCTGCTCCCCTCTTAGCTAGATGAAAGCCTGCAGAGTAATTTCTCCTTGCACTTAGGCTGGCCATATTTAGGGAATGAAAAAAGCAAGAGATGTACTTTGCTTTTTGCTTAACTACTTTTGATTTTACCAACTTCTGTTACATACCTACTGCAGATCAGTTGTTTGTCAGACCTGAACTGGAAATCTCAGTAAGAAAGAAAATAACTGCTTGCCCTGTCTACATGATTAACATTACTCTACTCTACCCCCTCACTCCTGGTATTTTCCTGTGCAGGTATATTGCATTCACAGTGTCTCAGCCAGTCCTTCCTCCTACACTCTCACAACTGAATGCACTGTCAACCAAGTTTCAAACTAATGTTCTTGACATAAGCACCTTGTACTAGCACTAGACCAGGGGTGGGCAATAATTTTTGATGCGGGGGGAACCTCTCTCTAAGATTTTGGTAAGAGTCAAGGGCCACACTTTTCTGTGGAGTGGGTGTAGGGTCTAGGATGGAGACTAGGTACAGAAAGGCACACGGGTGCAGCAGATGGTGTGAGGTCTGACAGGGTGTCTGGGTAAAAGACGGGGTTGTGACCTGGGGCAGAGGAATGGGGTACAGGGTTTGGAGGGAGGGGGTGCAGGAGAGGATTCTGGCCTGGAGGAGGAATGTAGAAGGGGGTATAGGGTCTGGGAGGGAACGATGTCCTAGGGCAGGGGGGGTGCAGAGGATTTGGATGGTGACCTGGTGAGGGAGTGAGGGTGCCAGAGGCAGACTCAGGCTGGGAGATGCTTACCTAAGCCAGCATCCCTGCTGCAGCCCCAGACTGCTTGAAAATACAGGCTGTTCCCTCCTCTGGCTCTCAAGGGGAGGTGGGGAGCCAAGAGGCTCGTGAGGCCCCGGGCTCCCAGGCCAATCCCTCAGTTCCGATTGTCTGTCTGTTTCCAGCCAATAGGAGCTGAGAGATTGGTTGAGTTCAGTTTTTATGAGCCGGTTGTTTCTGGCCAATTGGATCTGAGGATTGGGCTGGGACAGGGAGATTACACAAAGCTTCCTCCCTCGCTTCAGAGAAGAGAGACACAGGGACTGCACTTTAAACTCCCATGGCTTCGTGCCTGAGGATCCCAGAAGGATGGTCCACAGGTCAGATCTGGTGGCTTGGTGGGCCAGCCCTGCATTAGACTGTCAACAATAACAACATAAATCTCCTTAAGATTCTCCTTCATGAATAGAAACCATGACTGGCATTAGATGTGCTTCCAAATGTTTGGAGGGGAAGGGAAGGGGGAGAGATGTATTCCAAGTAAAAATTCAGTGTTTTCCACATACTCTACATTCCACAACTGTTATTGCTTATGGATAAGAATTTGAATGCTTATAGCAGTACAGTTTGGAGCCTGAAGCAATATCAATCTAAAAATATATCTGGAATTGTGAGACCAGATAGGAGAAAATTACCTGCTTGTGTTCTTTATAGAATAGTAATTTTCAGTTGGTTTTCTTTGTTCTTTTTTCCAAACTTCAGCTTTTGTCAGGAGTGACAAACCTAAACTGTTCAGGGGACTGCAAATCAAGGTGAGTAGCATTTTTTTAAAACATTTTAAATTCTGTCTTTTAAGAGGAATTAAACCTACTTGAAACTTGTCCTTCCACACAGTATTTAGTACTTGCTTATCCAATAAACCTGTATTCTGTACAAAGCATTATCTTATATGGAGTTTTGATATAAATCTTAATGGCAGGAACTCTGGCCAACCTATCTATAAATGGTTTTGAGAATAAAATTGAGTGAAAAACGTATATCCATTGCAAAGTTATGAATGTTTCAGTAGTAGTATTGGTTACTAAATATTATTTTCAGAAATATCATGGAAGATTTATGTAATAGCATATGATTTATGCACTTCAAATATGCTTGTATCACATGCTCACTTATGTATGAAATTTTGGAATTCTGAGCCATAGGTTCACTTCTGATTTTCTGTATTCAGACTCCAGTATTTCTCTCCCCTCATACTTCATCAAGCCCCAGTTCAGCTACTATTCAGATCCATCCTCACACTTCCTTTAAACATACATATTTGTTCTTATTATGTCCTTATACTTAATTCTTCCTTGGCTCACTTCTGGCCTCATGCACATTCCCTCCTTACGTCCAGTCTGTCCTCCTTTCTTCATATTCTCTCACTGCTGAGTCTTTTACTCTGTCCTCACTGCAGACTTTGGTGTATGTGGTGTTGACTCTAATTGTTTCCATTCTTCATCTCGCCTTGACTATGGCACCTAGCTTTCTTCCTTGTCTGGAAAGCTGGATGTTGAAGTAACTCCCTCTTGGGCAGAATGCCATTGCCTGTCGCATCTAATCCTGACAAAGCGGCACAGGCCCATTGTTCTGTAGTCAAAAAAATTCTGCTGTCTGTCTATTCACTTCAAGATCCAGTTCAAAATTTCACTTGTCTTTAAAATGCCTACATGTACTTATATTAGCTTGCCACACAAATCTGCATACTTATTCTCCTCCCTCCACTCACCAGGAAACAGCAGCTTCTGTCACTTAATAATTGGAACAGCTCTGCTATAAGGGTCTCAGAGGGATAGCCATGTTAGTCTGTAATTTAAAAAAGGAAGTGGTCCTGTAGCACCTTAGAGACTAACAAAAATATATAGTATCACGAGGTTTCATGGGCACAACCCACTACTTCAGATGAGTCTTCAGAGTAGTCTCTTAGACTTCAGCTAGAAGATTTTCTGAATTATTTATGGCCTCATGCATTCTCTGTGTTCTCTCCAAAATCTCCCTCAAAAGCCTTTGCCTCTCAATTTCTCTTTGGCTCTACTTTTTCATATATTTTAGTTGTATTTGTAATAGTTTAACTTGAAAGTATTTTCAGCTAGAATGGATTTGAAACCATATCAGTTGAACACTTTAGCACACTTAGATCTGGTGTTTGTTCCACAAGAACTTTGGGAAACTGATTAGTGATGCCATTAGATTAATTGTTGTGACTTGTAACAGCAAAGCAGAACAAATTGGCTAGATTAGCGCAACAGAATAAAGTAAGATTCCTAATCAGATCCATTCTGATGGTGTCAAATTTGCATAGAGAAGTCAGAGCAGAGATTGGGAAAGGCACTCTTATTGCTATAAGTGATTTTCCACTTTAGGTAGTCTCCTCTTATCCACATCTACCCTGACTGAATTAGGTCTGATGTAACACTCCCATCTCAATATCCTTACAGTCTAGTTCTTTTTCTTTCCCTTCATGCATCTCATTAAGCGAGTTACATCTTACAAAACCTTATGCCATAATATAATTGTTAGCCTTTAAGGTGCCACCAGACTCCTTGTTGTTTTTACTGAAACAGAATAACACTACCACTCTGAAACTTGTTAATATTTTTCAAATTTGCCTAAGCCCTCCCCCCAAAAAACTATGCTTAGTTTTATTGTCCAGTACAGCTTGTATGGTCCAAAATGGACAAAAACTTTGCACTTTCGTTGCTTTCTGATATTAAATGTCATTCAGAGATTGTTTTTGGTTTAATTTTAATTGTTTTATACCTGCTTTTAAGATTAATTTGAAATTGATATTTCAACAGTTGAGGCATTTCATTTAAAACATTAATTTTATGAGGTATAGGGGTGGGGGAGATGTGATTGCCAGACAGAAGATAACTAACCTTCTCTTTATGCAGTATGTGCGTGGTTCTGATCCTGTACTAAAGTTGCTGGATGACAGTGGGAACATTGCTGAAGAATTGAGCATCCTTAAATGGAATACAGATAGTGTAGAAGAATTCCTAAGTGAAAAACTAGAACGCATATAAATCTTGCTGCTTTCAGTCCTCTCTCTCAGTTTATCCCGGCTGTCTTCTCAGATGAATCATGCTACACCCAGCAAATCATTCCAGCTTCTACATGAATTTTAAAAGATCATTTGATGTGCTGCTATTTATCTTTTCAATTAGAAGGTGAAGCTTCAGCACAGCAATACATCTGACAAGTGGGCAAGGTGAACAAGTAGTTTGTACTACTACATATCAGTTCTTCTTAGTAACATTGCATTTCATTAGTGATAAACTCAGTTAATTATGCAAATTCCAGAGTCCGCGTTTGTTATAATTGGAACAGTTTTTACCAACACTTTTAAAACTTTGGCAATTTCAAATAATTGAGATGATTTTGTACATTGCTTTTCTGTGCACAGGAATTCATAACCACGTGAGATGTATACTCTGCCTCCAAAAAAAATGTCTTAGTCATCTTTTGCATTTTGTATTTCTCAGCTGTCCTTTTTATGTATATGTTATTTACAATTTATAACAAATGCCTAGTTCTAAAAATTTTTGGAATGTTGTTGTGACAGAGGAAGAACTTATGATCTGGAGTGATAATAAAACATTAAGTAGGTGCACTTTAGTGAAGACTACATAGAAAACCTTCAAGGCATGTGTAAGTCTGATGTCTGGTGTACTTTACACTCATTGTTTTACTTTACTGCAATAGATCTGAGTTGTTAGAATATAAAGATTTTTGAGATGGCAATAAATTACTTTCACAAATCTCTTAGAAATGCTTTATTGAATATCAAGTTTGTTCCCTTTTTAAAAAAATCGAATTTCCCTTTTTATTCTAACTGTTAACAGAGAAGAAACATGTACACATGTTAACAGAGAAGTAACATGTACACATAGTATACCAAGACTGACCCAGTGTAAATTGTCGGTTTAGTTAGCTGAGTGAATCCATACAATAAAGTGAGAATAACGAATGAAAAGTGGACTTAATTTAAACCAAAGCTGAAGTTTAATTAAAAAATAAGTCTGTCTCCTTATTTCCATATTTGTTAGGTTTTTGGATGGATGAGATATGTCCTCATGCAACCATAACTGCCAGTCAACATTATTAGTTTGTGGGTTTTTCAATTAACTTCCTAGTTTTTTTAAAATGCAACTTTGTGTCTCCGTGGACAGCTGAGAGTAAGCTGAGAGAACGCTGCACCTGCCTGGAAATTGAAGGGAGAAATGTTGCAAAACACTGTATTAATACTGGATGACGATGATGGATGGCATAGAAAGTTTGCTGTCAGTAGCAAGAGTAAGTGAGGCAAAATCGGCTAAAATGAAGCATTTTCAAATCAGCAGGCCTGGGAAACCTTACATCCTAGAGTCTTAAACTGCCTATGGAGCACTCTAAACCACTGACATTTATTTTTTAACAGTCACGAAAAATGGGGAAATTAAAAAGGCTTGAGTACTGCCAACGTAGTTTGAATATTTGAAAAGGGTAACCGGGATGACTGGGGGCCTATAGATTTGGTTAAGTAATGGAATGGTTAACTCAGAACTCAAAAAATTGAAGGCTAAAACTATACTAGTCATCTAATAGAGCTGTTCAGACTAGATGATCACAGTGATTCCCCTTTATCCCTTATAATTAAAGTTAAAGATTTTGTCATGGATATTTTTAGTAAAAGGAAAAGAAGCCTGAGCCTACCCCCTGCTGAAGGCTTTGTGACCTTATCGAAGGTTACAAAGTCACAGAATCTATGACCAGCATGACAGAATCTTAGCCTTCCCTTGATTATAATCTATGAATATAGTTTCATGGAGGGTAGGTTTAATAATCTTGTCAGAAGACATGTTCAGTGGTTCTGGTTGATTTTTCCAAATATTTGATCCGGTACCACGACACTGATTAAAAATCAGACAAAATTGCATTAGATGGAATTGACAGAGCATGCATTAAATGGACTAAAATCTGGCTCACTGATAGATCTCCATGGCTACGTCTAGACTGGCATGATTTTCCGCTAAAAGCATTTTCGGAAAAGAGCGTCTAGATTGGCCATGGACGCTTTTCCGCAAAAAGTGCTTTTGCGGAAAAGCGTCTGTGCCAATCTAGACGCGCTTTTTCGCAAAAAAAGTCCCGATCACCATTTTCGCGATCAGGGCTTTTTTGCGCAAAACAAATCTCAGCTGTCTACACTGGCCCTTTTGCACAAAAGTTTTGCACAAAAGGGACCTTTGCCCGAACAGGAGCAGCATAGTATTTCCGCAAAAAGCACTGATTTCTTACAGTAGGAAGTCAGTGCTTTTGCGGAAATTCAAGCGGCCAGTATAGACAGCTGGCAAGTTTTTCCAGAAAAGCGGCTGATTTTCTGGAAAAACTGGCCAGTCTAGATACAGCCCATGTGTAATTGTTAGTGGGGTGTCAAATGAGTTGGATTATTTCCAGCAAAGCACTGTAGGTGTGAGTTCTTGTTCGCACACTATTCTGTTGAAAACTTGCTCTGTAAATTAAATATAATTTTTGCTAGCAGAGTACACACATGATAAAGATTGGTGGGGTTGCCTATAATGAAAGGTCATGGTTAGTGATCTGGAGTGCTTGATTAAGTGGTCACAATCCAACAAGATGCATTTTAATAACTAAATACCAGGGCACACATTTCACAACAAAGAATGCAGAGTATACTGTACTGGGACTGTCTGGGACTGTCTGGGAAAGCAGTGGCTCAGAAGTAAGGATCTTCACAGATTACAGTCAGTGTTCTGACTATATTCAGAGCAATTCTTGGTTATATAAATAAGGAGATATCAAATAGAAGAAGGGAATGACCTTACCTCTGTATACACCACTGATAAGCCTGCTATTAGAATACTGGGTCTTGTTTTAGTATCCATACTTCAAGAAATGTGTGACATACTAGAGCGTTCAGAAGGCTTCTATTGTAGCATCTAAGCACCAGCTACAATAGTTGAGATTTCTCCAGATACACACAAACTGTCTCACCCTCTTTTGTTTGAAATTTTAAGGAAACACTATATTTAGCAAACAATGTTAGAAATGTAATAAATCACAAGAATCGTTCATGCCAGAGTACCTGGGAAAGTGTCCCTACTGACATGTCAGGTAAATACATAATTAAACTATATATATAGTTTAGTAGCCTTGTGCTGCACTATCAGTGGGATATATAGCATGTGCCAAAAACCACAGATGACTGTGTGACTGCTGAGAAGTCTGTTTTCTCAGCAGATGGCTTATTTCTCCATACCTGAACACAGCCGTGAGGCACTAATTGGGAGAAAAGGTGTGCGTGAGACTCTTCTGTTCAGGCAAGGCAAGCTTAGGATTGGTCTAGGGCAGCAGTTCTCAACTGCCCGGCTGCAGATCTCTAGCTACCACGCTGAGATACAGCACTCTTGATGCAGCTGTTGGGAGAGGCGTGTCCTGCCCCACCTCTCAGCCAACCAGCACTAGGCAGGGTCGGGGGGGAGGGGTGGCTCGGCTCTGCTCAGACCTCCCACCATTCAGGGAAGTGCTCTTCCACAGCCGGGAGAAAACTGTGCTGCATGGCCTTCCCACCACACAGTGAAGAACTCTTCCATGGCTGGAGGAGATGCCACCCCTGCCCAACACTGGCTGGCTGAGAGGCAAGGCAGGACACGCCTCTCTCAACAGCTGTGGCAAGAGGGGAGGTACTGGGCTGTACCCCAGCCCTGGCCGCCAGCACAGGACTAGGTGAGGGGGCAGGGTAAGCACTGGGGGCTCCTGGGGCTAGGCTAGTGCTGAGGGGGCTCTGGAGGCTACATTTGTATTGGGGTATCTGGGGGACCAGGGCTGTCACTGAGGGGCTCTGGGGATGGGACTAATATTGGGGACTGGCCTGGGGAAGGCTCTGGGAGGGGTTGGGTGAAGTGTGGCTCTGGAAACAGGAGGCTGGGGGGGCTGGTGGAGTGGGGCTGGCACTGAGGCATTTGCAGTGGGGGCTTGGCACTGGGGACGGGAGGGTAGCACGGGGGGAGAAGCTGGGTGCAGTGACTCAGGTCAGTGGCTAGCTCTGGGGGGGTAGTGATGGGGTGGGGGGCTCTAGGAGTTAAGGCTAGCACTGGGGGTTCTGGAGGCTGGGCTTTCAGCAGATTGGTAATGCTTTATTTGCATATTCATTATTTGCATAATGAATGTGTAAACATGCAAATAAAGTCTTCCCAGTCTACCAAAAGTTTGTGAATGAGTTTGCTGGTCCCCGGTATCAAAAAGGTTGGGAACCACTGGTCTACAGAGTTCAGAACAAGAAGGGCAATAGCAGCTCTTGGCTATGTCTATATTAGCAATTGAATGACAAAACTGGTCTATCAGAAGTGTTAAAATACACACATGAAAGAAGTTTCGCTGACAGTAAGCGCCACTTGCTTGATGGGGATGGAAGTATTTTTGTTTGCAAAAGAGATGACAAATGGCAGCACCTACACTGTGTGACTTATCACACAGCTTAGCCACACAGGAGTACTGCTAAAAGCTGCTGCTGAACAGATGAAGCCTTTGTCTCCATGGCACTTCCTTGAGACTGGGGCCATTCTGGTTCCAGGCAGTCCCAAGCATAAATTAAAGCGTCTGAAAGGCTTCTATAATCCATAACTGCTGTCTCTGACACCAAAGGGCCCGTTGCATTGACCTGAAATAAGCCAAGAGCCAAGGCAGTTCAACACAGTCCCCAAGGATTTCCCTCTAGTGCTGCAGCCAGTTAAGTAAACCTTTAGGCTGCCTCACTGGAGTGGCACAAAACAGCCCTAATGAAGCAGTAAATCAAGTTCAAAGTATCTAACCTTTCGGTTGATGCAAGCCACGATTAACTTTACCCTGCAGTACATGCATGACAACACTGAAGACAAGCAAGTCAAAAAGGGGTGGCTATTGCAGTACTTGCCCCCATGTAATGTCAAAGGTGTACAACATACAGGAACTTAAATCTGCTGACTGTATTTACACAGTTTGGATCCCATGTGAGGACAAATGAGGCAACTATGAAGAGACTTATCTTGTTATGGAAGCTATTTTAGCTGCCTGAGAATATAGGATTTTTTTTTCTTTCCTCCCACAAAAGGGGTAAATAAGTATGTTTGGAGATTTGACATCTGTAGAAGAGGAAAAAAGAACTCATGGAAGCTCAGCATCTCTGGTATCCAACCTGTTGCTATTGCTCCTCAAATCATATTAAGCCTTAAAATGCGTATGGTTTGTTATTGTATATTAAAAAAGATTTTTCAAAGAAAAACAGAAAAGTATGTAAAAGAGAAAGGCAGTGATTATAAGAGTATAAGGAGTACAGCACATTGACTTACTGAATTATTGATCTGCAGGCTGTCTTCCCTACCAAATGCACTTTTATACTTAGAGTTCTGTAGTGCATGTATATTGTCACTAGGGCATCAATTAGACATTGGCAAGTTATGATAATCAAGGGTAAAAAATAGTGTGCTAGAGAATGGACAGCTAAAGCGGACAGGTTTGGCTTCGTAAAGCTATGCTTGCATTAGGAACTATGGTTCTAGGCATCTAAATTTAGATACAGACAGCTAGAGATTTTGAATATGTTCTAGAATATGATCTAGAAATGAGGCCTACAAGCCAACATCCTTTATAGGACTGATCTATGGTCTGAGGGAAAAGGGGCAAAAAAAATAAAATATTACAGGTGCTTCCCATTCAGTAATGCTAAGGTCTATTCCCCAGTCATTAAAAATACTTGGAGGTTCTAATTGAAGTGGAATGAAACCTATCTC